CTGAGTCATTTCTACCTTCTCCTCTCTGTCAGCGCTCTCTGCTTTCATTTAAAAGAGTCGATCATCAGATATTGTCCAAGATTAACCTTCAGGGTGGATATAGCTCACTAGCAGCCTCACAACGAGGACCTAGTTGATGTCATCATTTACCCAGAATGCTTTACATGTAAAAAATGGCCCCGTCMGTGTAATATATTTTTAAACTTTTAGTTTAAAAAGGATAAAAACTGAACATCCTACAGTATTTTTACAGTCTTTATTTTAGTTAAAGTATATGTTTATCATGTAAAGTCTAATGTTACAACTAATCGGGGATCCCTTTAAAGTGTTGTCTAAAGTTTTAAAATGAGGAACTTATGTAACCAGCTGGCTTTGACCGCTTTACTGCCATTTACAGTTCAGACAGAAACTGTTATTTTCTTCTGTATCACAGCTCAGCTCAGCAGCAGCAACTAATTGATGATGCCACCTTTTCCCTTCACACGGCAATGTTTTCAGAAACGTTACATAAGACCTTAACCATCAAAGGTTGCCTTTCCTAAAAAAAAAAAAAAGAAGACTTTTGTCTTGGGTGAGAATCTGCTCTGCTGCACAACACTGAGCCCCTGCCTGCATCCTGCTGCCATTCAGTTCTCTCATCCTGGCATAAAGTCATCAGGCTTTGACGAACAGGCAGAGAATAGTCTGCTCACAGTGCTCTTTTGTTGGCCTGCGCTATTAACGTCCACACACACAAAGAAAGAAGTGGGATAGAAATAGCTAGCAAAGTGAGATTTATGTTTTCACGAAGAACCACATATATGCATCGACTTGCATAAGGATGTTGATGCTGACAGAAAGTGCACAGCCCTGAGCAACAACCTGAGGTTCCGTTACACTAAATTACCGCGGTGATCCGAGGTCAGGCGCAACATTTTCTTCGCTAGCCTTCGTTATTTTAATAGAAAAACATTTTTGAGGAACAAAAAGCGGTGTGTGAGCAAAAAGTCAAACTGAATTCCAGCAACTCGTGTTTCCTTTGTGAGCTGGATGAGCCAGTTCTCTTTTTAATTAGTGTCTTTGCAGAAAGAACAGGGTTAATTAAAACTAACAACCACATAGGATTAAGAACTCCAACTTGTGACTTACGCTTCAAGACGCACACAGAAAGTAAAACAAAAAGAACACAGGAGCGATTATGGAGCAAACGTCCAAACAACGCAGAAAAAAAAAAAAAACTACACAGTGAACATATTCAGGTTTACTGCAACAGAAGTGGGAAAGAATGAAAGCTATGGACAGACTGAACAATAAAGCCTTTATTTTTGTGTGTTTCCACGTTCAAGTTTGTCAGTCCCACCCAGTGAAAAGGTGTCTGACAGAGTGAAGGAGTAAGAGGTAGAGCAAGTGTTCCATTCTTATGGTGATCAGCAAAAAAATAATCTGTTTAAACACACAAAGGGAATGCCCATTCAAGGAGGGCCTACTGAAAAGAGAGAAAAAAATAAAGATATAACAGCAGCTTCTATGTGGTGTTGCTAGCTTTCCCTTATAATTCACATTCATACATACTCCAAAATTGCTGATGATTGAAAAAAAAACTTGCATTACCATGTAAACCAGAGAGATGATGAGTGCTTGCAATAAATTGGCTGTCACGGCACCATCATCATCAATCTGAGCACTCGAAGTGAGGAAACGGCCTCAGGACAGAGCTGCAGCGTCTCCAGGGGGCTCTGCATAGTGAAAGACTGAAAAAAGGATCTTTATTCGAGGCTTAATAGAATAAAACTAAGGGTGGGGGATTCTTCTCTGCATATGGTACTGTAGGCCACGGAAACCTGAGTGTTGGAGCTCGACAGCATAGAGAAGTCAGCTGGCCGTGCAGGAACTGTAAATGCGACACACTGGGTTAAAACTAATCCACCTTTCAGCTACACTGTGATGGGTCGAGACAGTGCCGTGTTGCATTTAAAAAATTGGAAATATTTACATCTTCGGCATATAAATTACTTCTCAAACACGCTGTCTCTGTAAGGCTCTCCTAAACCACACACAAAAAAAATAACATTAAGTGCCTCTTACTAAATGACTACGCTGACTCAAGATTTAGGAAGATGGTTGAGAAAGGATAGAACAGCTAAATGTCACTGAAACAAAACCAAATTCAAACCAGAACAAGTCCAAATGAGGAGAAACATAATCGATTCATTAGAACGATGCACAAAATGGCACATAGAAAAAGATAAAGCTGTAAAGCTTGATTAGGCAACCCCTGAATATTTCTATGTAGTAACAATCACAACACTGGAACTGACTCTGATGACCAGGAAAGAAGAGGAGTGGTCACTGCATGGAGGGCACCTCTGATCACTGATGATACGAGATGCTTTACATTCTTGCACGGCGTCATTCAGCGCTCTAGGAAAGACTCCTCCTGCCTACAAAGTGACCTTTAACTCTTTTTTTTTTTTTTTTTCAGTTATGCCTCAGTCCAAATTGCCGACAGGCTGGCCTGTGACAACAACAGCACCCCCTCGACCCTGACCAATCGCATCAAGGCAGAAGCAGGTCAGACCACACGCGGTCCAACAAATTAAAAAAAAAGGCTCTAGTCCCGTAAAATTCACACTTGTCAAAGAAACACAGTATCAAAACTCTGTATCATGAAAGCATACAAACAGATATGCAAATAYATCATTCGAGAGACAAAAACATACACGGTAACTGTTGGTTTTGCATGTGAAATTCAATCAACGTGTCACAGACAAATAACGGCTGGCTCTGCTCGTTTTGGAGAAATAAGAAGACGATCGAGAGCAACGAAAAAAACAAAAAAAAATTTGGTTCAGTTCATAATTTTGATGTGGGATAAATGCTTGCACAAGAAGTTTAGAAGAGCAGGAAAAAAAAAATACAACCCTCTCCTGTTGACTGCACTAGTTCATATTACCACCGCTCTCCAAGTCCAGAGCCGCTGTCAGTCTTTGGGTCATCACCCTGTTGAGTGGGTGCGTGACAGTTTGTCATTCCAGTGAGTTAAAAAAAAAATTAGGGCCATTGGTTTGTTTGCAGAAAGGTCCCGCCCACACTGACGAGGTGGAGCACGGAGGATGCTCCATCAAACATCCAGGATGTCCTTGACAAAACTGGCCACATCTGTCTCTTTAGCGTCGTGCATGGTGAAAAATGGATGTTTCTGCATAGAAAGAAGGATGAAAATGAGAAATGTGCTCCAAAGGAACAAATAAGCATTTAAATCCCAGCTGTGTTGATAACTACATAAGATGTGCAAACATCATAGACTGGTGTGTTGATAGGGTAAGTCTGGCCTCTAGTGGTGAAAAACAAGAACCACAGACTCACTGTTAGCAGCGCTGATGATGTTGTCAAACTACCTCTTTTTTGGAACAATAAAATAAAAAATAACTAACCATTAATTCTGTATAAGCTGGTCGTTCATTCGGCTTCTTTCTTAAGCTGCACAAAGAGGGGGAAAATAAAAAAATTAAAAAGGGAAAGAAAAACAACCAATGCCACCAATCAACATATTCTAACGTCATGCTAAACATAAAAAATATATATTTTAAAATATTAAAACCAGGTGGATTTCAGTGACATTTAACGATGCTGACAGCAGCTTGTGTGAGACTCACCACTGAGAGATAAATTCCACAAACTCCGGGGAGAAACGGTCAGCAGGCAGCTGTGGCGACGGTTCGTCCACCACCTGCTTGAGCTGCTGGAACGGGGTGCGCCAGGTGTCGTAGGGGAACTTCAAAATGGCCAGCTCGATCTAGGAAACAAAAACAGGCAGATTTTTTTTGAAAAGGCTTTGCTTTCAGGCTACAAATCAGTTATTTGTTTATAAATGCCTGGTGAAAACTGATAAATTTGAATTTGAAACTATGACACAAAACTAAAACAAATACATTGCAGAATCTGTACATTTTAGTATTTTTTCATAATCCACTAAAAGGGTTTCCCAAAAATATCAAGTTGTGTAATTTAAAATTAATGTTGGACATTTAAAAATAGTTTCTTTTGCCTTTGGACCACTACGAGTAAAAGTTGCGGCAGATTGCAGAAACAAACTGTTAATCTGTAAGCTGTGCTACATAATTATTAAGGACATGAAAGCTGTTAACAACCTGGCATCTATGACACACAAAGAGCTATAAATATTGTCACAGTTCACCATGACTCAGCATCTGTCAAGTCTGACTGTGAGTTATTAGAAGAACCTAATAATGCACTTTGTTGAGAAGCAAGGACATATTTTAAAACAAGATTGTTTTAATAGTTTTACTTAMGGAGTTTTATTTGCAATTGAAACAAAAGTCAGTAATGTTATACAAAAACTACTGGTTTATAAATAATCTGAAAACAACTAGAAGAAGCAAAACTAAATAAACATAAAAATGGTTTATTATATAGGAGATAAAACAGAAGTAAAAACTTTAATTAGTTTTAATCACATTAAGACAAAGTTAAACATTTCAGTGTGTTTTTTTGGAAAGATATTATTCCATAAAATAGACAAATTATCTTTACATATCTACACTCACCATGGTGATTCCCAGACTCCATATGTCTGATTTGACACTGTAGCCAATCTGGTTGAGGTCCGGGTTGATGCGTTCAGGCTGAAAGGCAATTCATCATTTATTTCAAGGGGGGGGGAAAGTTTTGCAGTTTTTCCTGCACTCGACTACTACAGCTTTCTTTGTGGCACCTACACATCAGCTATCCGATTTCACGGATTATGGTGCGTTCACACCAAACGCGATTTCAGCATCAGGAGCCTCAGGTTTACACACAAAGTCTATGGT